GTTTTTAGGTTACAGTATGTATAGATAAACAGAAAAATTACTAGTTTACACACTACAGTACTGATCGAATTTTACTGTCAATAATTTCCTGACTGAAAATTCAAACATGAGAATTGTTTTATTTAGTTTAAAGTCAAATGTTCTGTAAATGATTATTTATTGAAACTATATAAATGAATTGATAACATGCAATAATGACAAGTATGACTTGAGTTACCATTTGAAATCACTTACAATCGTACATGTACAAATATCTGTATGATTCATAACTGATATCATTTTGGTTGTGTGTTTTTTTTTAAATGAAGATTTTATTGAACTATACTACTGATGACTTCATTCCATTGATGATTTCAAATAAAGGATTTCAATTTATATTTTTATGAACATTTGAAGATTTTTAATTGATTGGATCTACTTTTCGGTTCAAGAAACAAATCTTTCATAATTTTAATTCTTCACTTTCTATAACGAACAAGTAACACTGTGTATTCCAAACATCAGTTAGTATAAGAATCATTTCAAATGATTTCACTCTTGGCATATAAAACTGATTGTAGTTGCTACACAAGTTATTAAAAAGGAATCTTATTTTCCTAAGAGTATTTCATATAGTTTTATTTAAGATGACAATGCACAATACGAAAAACTCCTGTTAGTTGGAATTCATTTATAATTGATTCAATGTATCTATCTCATGTGAAGAACGATGAATTAGTAATTGCAATAGTTGAAATCATGAGTCAATTGAAGCTTGATCACCATGGAAAACCTGGAAGCACTGGACGACCGTTTCGTCATAGTAGGGGAACTCAGGACCTATCAGTCTCGTGCGCAAACGCTTAACCTCTAGACCACTGAGCCGGCATTCAACGCTCTTAATATTTAACTTCAACCAATAGACGAAATTGAGCGACACATCCACCACTATCTTCAGTGAGTTAACATCTCACAACAGAACCGGCTGAACTCCACTGATCACTGCTTCTCACTAGAACTCCAGGAAATACCTCTTGAAGCCAGTCACTTGTGAGCATATGCTAATTATTATCAGAAAGGGGTTTTGTGGGGACCTTAGTCATTGGATGCGCACTGATGAGGAGTCATACATTAGGAAGAAACGACCTTCCAGTGCTTCCACCTTTTTCATGGTGGTCTAACATCAACTGACTAATGACCTCAACTCTTGACATTACTACGATCTCCATAAAACCCCTTTCTGATAAATTAGTAATTTATTTGTCTAGCAGTCACTATTCATTACTACTTAAATTAAAAGATTGATAACTTTACTTAACATCTGTGACGAATTTATCGATATTATAGTTTAGTAATGAAGCTGAAATTGAGAATTTCAAAAGTCGTCTTCATGGATTCGCTGTCTAGTAATTCATATTCACAAAATGGATACTTTAATAAGTCTGTTTAATTTTAAACTCTATTTAATCTAAGGTGAATTGTTATATGCATCAAAATTAGGTAGAATTGGTATCTTATTCAATTTATTCTATAGATATTTTAATAAACTATTTGTGAACAACTTTCTTTTTAAGTAAGTTCAACTAGGTAATCAAAAAAGGGATGAATTAATAATACAGCTTAATCATATAATTCCCTTTGTAAAAAATTTAGTAACCTATTAATATCTTTGTGATAACTTTTTTCTTATTACCTTATTTTATTCAGTAATAGGATAATGAGTGAACATTAGTAAAGAGACATTTATTCTAGAATAAAACAGTTGTCTGATCTTTTTTAAAAATTTTTTTAATAGTTAGTTGTTTTAGCTGATGACATTCTTTCACAAAAACTGTCTTTAGAACAAAATCACTGGCACATTTGCAAACTATAAGATACATATAAATGGATCATAAAATCTATTCCTTGATTCATCATTATTTGTATTCTTTATGTATATTGAATTTTCAACGGTGTAATATTAATAATAATGTCTTTTATGTTCTAGTCGGAATTCTATGAAAGAAATATTTTATTCATAATCAGATTTCATGAAAGCTGTATATTGATCGATTATAACATTTGATACCGATCACAACAACAAAAAATTAGAAAACTGATTTTAATGACATTTTAGTAGCTGAATAGAAAGAAATGTATTATAAAATGTTCGGGGATGTTACTGATAACTAACTCAGTAAGTTATAATAAATAATAATTAATTAAATGGTTTAAGATAATTGTAACCGATCTTACGCGGAACTGTCTAACCTTTTAAATAAGAAAAAACTATGTATATATATAATATCATTTACCCGTTATGATGAACATACATTTATTATAAAGTATTACTTTACCTGAATTTTTTCCTGCATGTACACAAATCTATTCGACATTAAATGTTCAATTTACATAAAGTAATTTTATTCTAAATGACAATGTATACCTTTTAATGTTTAGTAAATGATATTCAATTTATTTTAGTTATGTCATAGACAAGTGAGACAAACCACCATATTAATGAACAAGTGTAATTAAAACGTTTATTATTCGTCATGGTCAATGAATATTTTTGACTGATCTTTATCTATGGCAATTGTAATATGCTTAATACGCTTTAAAGTAATGCAATGTTGTTTATATTATACGTCTAGAAGTAAACGACAACAAGATTACCTGGGTATTTATAACATTTTGTCTTTTGTTACATGGTAGCAATTATAAACAATTTAATTAACTTCCTGTATGTTTTATAATACTGATTCATCAAAATGAATAATCACGGATCATAACTATTGTTGTCCTAAGATCAAATGATCGTCCAAATAGTACCGCAAATTATTATTGTTCAATGAGGCAATGAATCATCTTAATCCAATCGTTGATATTAAGGACAGGATTTGAATTGGTTAGCATAAGTGTATCCGCTGAGGGTTACATGGAAACATATTTTCTACAAGGTTTTATGAAGCAGATTGATATTGATTAGAGTGCATATATCGTCTTGTTTGTGACTTGTCAAATAATTGCCTCTGGACTTCTTTACTTAGTTGTTAATATAATGGGCGTTTGTATCAAAATGTACTGAGTGTGCGTCCATATGTGTACGTTAACACAATGAAGATAAATCCACCTGAAGAATCGAAAAGTGGGTAAAATGAGTTTTTATTTTGACTGTTAGCCAAAACATAACCATTTTGTGAAACTTTAGCTATTGATAGAAACTACACAGTTTTTATATTACATTCGAAGTACGGATGCAAAACTTATCATTATAACAGGTCAACTAATAAATATGAAGTTGTTGACAAATTACATTTTATATTATATGCTAAAATTACTGGACAGTGAAAAAATCGAAATATAATGGTCATTAGGATTATTTCTGGCAGTTTATTTCATAAAATGTAATAAAATGTAGTTTCTTTCGTTTGTGAATGAACAAGAGTAATAACAGAGAACTCACTTTTTTAACTAAGATTTTGATATCATCAATTCGTTGCTTATCTACGATTTTCTAGTCCAAATCGTTTTATTTATTATCTCCAATAAGACAATATATTTATGCATATATTACCAGTAATTTGCACCTGATTATACAGAAGAAACTTATTTCTCCTTTGACATTCGTTATGACGTAACTCATTCCTTAAAAACAGATTCCTTAACTTGACTTTAAGTTACAATGTATGTTATGATTAGGGATATAACATTAGCTGTCATATCAAATAGGTAGACTATTATTCGAAATTGTGAACCTGTATTTAATTAACCAATGTCTTTACGACTAAACCACCTCTCTATTCAACTGATCCTTTGAAAAGTAACCACTTGGAATAAAACACATTGAACTTAATATCTCTAAAATAACACAGCTATGTAACTTCATGCTTATATGACTTCTAACTTAACACTTCATTTCTACTTTTTTTTAACTTAGTCACTAGATTTCCTTTGGTTGAAAACTTTTAGCTCAATTTCTTACAACATCATTAGCCTATTATGTTATAAAATCTCAATCTAAGATAAAATCATTGACTATTGACCTCAAGGTATCCTTTAATTTACCCCCCCCCCCATGTTTATTATTATTATTATTATTATATTATATCCATAAAGTTTATTGACTTTTGATGTTATTTATTTAATCAACAACAACAACAAAAAATGTTTTCCTAATTAATTAACTCTTATTTACGTTTTATTTAACTCGATATTAACTTGTAAGTGGCATAGGATTTCATTGAGTATTAAACATTAAAATAAATTACCTAAAATTGAATAATTTTCATTTTGACGTAATATTTTGATGATTCATTTTTGATCATTATATTTCTAGATTCTGGTTATTATTGTTTGTCTGTTTGTTTAAGGTCACAAGTTATCTTAATCAGGTATCTACTAGACAAGAAACGAACTCATAACTATTTTTTTTGACAATAAATGATCGGTTAGCCAATTGATGCAAATATCATTATTATATAGATAGATAGATAGATAGATAGATAGATAGATAGATAGGTATACCATTCAAATTACGAATGTTTCCATTGAATCCAAATGAATAATGAACAGTGAAGTATTTACTTAAAGGTCAAAGATAATTATGTTTATTTTTTTTTTCAGTTTAGCATTCATTACATTTAAACAATTTTTGACTCATCATCATCATTATCATCAAATTGACTACAGTCTATTGAAGAGATATTACCAACTTTATACCATACTCACCAACGTTTAGCTTTATTTGTAACTTATAAATAGTTTTATTCACTGTTTACTATGAAGAAAAAAATGAGCATTTCAAACTGATAAATAGACAATTATTTTTAATATAGACCACCATAATGTGAAAATAATCAGCTTTTCGGAATGTTTGTTCATTCGTTTGTTTTTTCTCAATTTTTACAGACAGTATTTTGATCAACTAGGTGGGTTTAAATTTTCATTAGAAAAACTGATTACATTTTATGTATCGATATAAAGTACAAAACAACTAGTTGTATTAGATAAAGTAAGCTACATTATATTAGTCAGCAATAATGAGTAACTTACATGTTTATGATACATTTAAAAAGTTTAATCACCATCAATCATATGTATATTTGTATTTGTAAGTTGGATAAAAAATATGTTCCATTTCTTTGTTCATTATGTTTATCGGATTAATAAAACATTCTAAAATCTAATCTCATTTGAAGTATAAAAACCATGTTGTTTATTTAAATAATACAAGTTGAAAAAATCACATACATAGAATTATATAATTCATGTTTATATTTAAGATAATTCATAGTTAGAAATTATGTGAAAGTAGTCTATTTTATTCTTTTCTAAATTTCAATGAATGCAAACGTTCTTAGTCTTCAAAAGTTTTTGATGTTAATAATTATGTGAATAGTTAAGATCATGAGTTAATTGAAACTAGACCACCATGGAAAATATAACTTCAATTGATTCATGATTGCTATAATATCCACAAAAAAAAAAACCCTTCTGTTATTATTTATGTGCTAAAACTATGAGTATTATCTAATGAAGTAATTTTATTTTGCATTAAATTACTTAAATTTTTTAGGGATCTATAAATGTCAATTGTATATTTGAAAATTATCATGGAAATTTATGAAAGAACTAGAGATTGTATGATAGAAAAATCATATTTATGACAAAGTGTTAACTAAGGTTGACTTTAAAACATCTCTATTATCATGAAACTTTACTGTAGTATTTACACTATACAACATTTGATTATGTTCTCGATTTCAAATAAATTCATTAGGATATTATGTATATTTAAAACAATAAGTTAAAAATAACTTGAAAACTTTTACTAAATTATTTATATATATTTTTCAGAAGCAGAATCCAATAGGCTGACTTCTTTCCCTTCACTATGATATAATTAGTTGTACTCATATCGGTATCAATGATAAATACTACTCATAATTATAATTCACATTCTGAAACACTAACTTCATATCCACTAAAATACTGAGTAAAGATATTTAGTGATGTGTTCAGTTAGTATACTAATTTAAATACTAATTTTAAATGCTTGTTTTTTTCCAGTTAATGATTATGAGGAGGCGATAAATATTGTATTTGACTCACAGTGTGAACACCAACATGAGTGAGAATTTGTTCAGCTAATGTGCTCCAACTAGAAATAAACTAGCTGATTAGATTGTACTGCTAGCTAGTTCCCGAAATTTATGTCATGTGAATTTAAACAGGATTACCACATTCATTCAAGAGATATCAAGTTAAATATTGTTAAAACTGATTTGTGAATATAAAGAAAATAATATTACGAATAATTTTAGTTTAATACAAATAAAAATCCTTTTTAGATGAATTTTAGCCATTTTACCGTTGATTATAAGAAATATTCCAACTTAATTCAGAATTGATTGAAATTATGAACCGATCGATATTAGAATGATCCCCATTGAAAACCTGGAAGCACTGGACGGCTATTTCGTCCTACTGTGGAACTTCTTAGCAGTGCGCATTCACGATCGCGCTTGTGGAACTCAAACCCAGGGTCGTCCAGTGCTTCAAGGTTTTCAATGGTGGTCTAACATCAACCAGTTCATGATCTCAATCAATAACTTAATAATCTTCACAACCCTATAATGATAAATTCAGAATATCGATATGCTATCCAGTAAAAAGATGGTTTCGAGAGGCTTTCGAAAAATCTTCACTCTTTTCGTATATTATAGAAAGAATACTAATGAACACTTGTAACAATGGTAAATATTTACATTAGGATTTACCAATAATACCTCACTGAGCACATTTGTTTTGAAATATATTTTTTTCTTCAGGAAAAAATATATACAGTATATCGTTTACGAAAAGTCTGATAGGCCCTGGGTTCGAATCCCACGGAGTGCAGGATCGTGGATGCGCACTGCTGAGGAGTTTCATACTAAGACGAAACGACTGTCCAGTGCTTCCATGTGTTCCATGGTGGTCTAGCTTCAATTGACTCAAGATTTCAATCAAAAAATCCTTTTTTTGTTTAAAGTAATTAATGATGAATTCTCTAGACACTGATCAATTCCTAGTTACTTTTTATTTCATTTAAATGGTTATAAGTTTTTTTAAAAACCTCTTATTTTTTTAAGATGTAAAGTGATATCTGTTCATAATTATGATAGAAACAAAACTGTTCACATTAATTAAAACTATACTGTCAACTGAACTAGGTCATGTTTCAGCTTATTTGATTGTATTATTATTACACAGTAAATTACTAAGAATATTGTATACTTATAGCAAGAAATGTGTTTAAGTTATCACTATTGTTATAAAAATTTCAAACTTAATAATGAATTATTCGTTCACATTTAGAAATAGGCATCTTTATTTTCCCATCAAATAAAATATCTTAATCAAGGCAACAACAAGAAGAAAATACAGTCATTATAAGACTGTGTAAACATTAGCCCTCCCCCTAAAATTGTCTGTCTCTATGACTACAATTTATCACTTTATTATCAGTGTGATAATTTAAATTGCAGTCATTTAAAACAAATCATATCAGAATTATTTTTTGACCTTTTACTTAAATCAAAACTCACTTAAGTAAATTAATAGAAATATTTAACAAATGTATAGTTAGGATATTTTAATTTTACAGAAATGTACATTTCAAAAATTTCGAAAATTTAACTGAATTTCATAATTATAGATTTATAAACTTAAAAAATGTCAGATATTATGATTTACTCCATTTCTTGGTTACAAAATCATCAATATAACTGTTATGTTTGAAGCGATTACGAGTTCACCTAATCTGAGAACGGAACAAAAACTCTATTACCAAAAGCCAATAAGCTAGCTATTCTGATTCATACCAGCCCCGCTAACTAGAGTGAGAGGTCTAAGTTAGGAAAAAGGAAATATATTTGACAAGCATCTAGAAGCATGAGCAATAACAACAGGCACAAATCAAACGTGTACACACAGCATAAAATTGTCCTTGGAAAGCGTGACAAAATAGTATACTGAAATATATAACAAACCAATCGCGTTTAAGATCCTACAAAGTGGGAACTACGACATGAAGGTGAAAATGAGCGCTTTTGACACAAAAACAAGGGATTCAAATTTTTAAAATAAAATTACAAAAATAAGCTATTTACCAAGTGAGTTCTGGGGATCACACATCTCCAACAGTAACTAATATACAAAATTATCAATTGACTAGCCAAAATACTATGATTACATAGAAAGTTTCTATTATTTTGTTTAATTAAATATCCGTTTTTTCCAATCAAATCATCATGTCGACAATGAATCAATAACATTTCAACTTAGTTTTAGTTATTTTATTGATGAAATAATACTCAATACCATACATTGATGTTTAGGACTGCAATTGATCAGTCTCTTATTGATAAATGTGCATATTGTGCAAATTGTCTTGATATTGTCTTAAGTCACAAGCATTATAAGCAAAGATGGATAGTGGCTGACAATAAACAACACCAAGTGAGTTTAAACTTTACCCCATTGAACAAGCAAGTGGCTATCAGGACTCAGTAGCTAAGTGGATAACACGATGGCGTTTGAAACGAACGGTATTGGGTTCGAGTAGCAGTGTGAACATAAACACTGAAATGCAGGTACATCCAACTCATGAGTCCCAAATAGAACGAAACGTGTGTCCTGAATTCGACTACTATCCACTCTCCATCTTTCCTTAAAAAGCTTGTGAGTTAAGGCAATATCGAGGCATTCCTCACAGACTGATCAATTGCAGTCCTAAATAGCTATGGAAAGATACAAGTAAACAACACCAAGTGAATTCTTACATTGTTTTATTCCAATAAGATAACATATGTATGTGAATATAGATTGACACATTATTTAATTATGCAGACATAATCGATTTTAAAAACAATAAAATCAAGAATTAACTAAAGAATTTTAAGATCTTGATATAGGATATCTAAAATTTACCGATAGTAAAATGATCGGTAATAAATGATGTTTGACTATCAAGAACTAACTTAATGTTATAGTTTCAACAATATTTAGCGTTACATTCTGCTTCAAATGTCTAAAGATATATATATATATATATAAACAGTATAAGTTATACATATATAAAACTTAAAACTTATTTCGACCAATCAAAAAAAGATTTTGAAATGAGAATGCAGTTATCAACCAACCAATGAATGATTAGAATAGATAAGAATTCAAGTGAAAACAAGAATTAATTTAAATTAACTGGAATGTTTAGAAAAAGGTAACGCTCAGTTAAAACACTATTTGCAACCCTACTTGGATACAGGCTTTTATTTACATACAATTGTTAGGCGACTTTATCTTTAAATACATAATCATTCCTTTAATGAATAAAAAATCATTACTACACACAAAGAAGAAAAATATCTTAGTAACAATTAAAAGTGAACAAATCCTTATAAAAAGATACATCTGTTGCATTATTTTTAATAAAATACTATGAATAAACTGGTTTACTGAAACTTAATAAACTATCTTAAAATGTAACATGAACATCATAAAAAATTCACCAAATTTCATTATGTCTTTCGGGAGAGTTTTCAATAGATCCAGGACTATTAAGTATTTCTTAAATTGATCACTCTTTAGATTACTGAAATCCTTTTGTTATTTGTTAAGGTAAGTGTTGCCAAATGTTTGATTTTTTCTTGATATTAAAATATCTACTTACTTTCAACAAAATGTTGTTTCTATATAAAAGTTCTTCTTACTTAAGCCTGTTACCCCTTGTAGAATAGCATAGGTCGCTCATGGAGATTTCACATGAAGCTTTGTCCTGGGTGATTCTTTCCAGTGCTACTAACAGATGAATATTAATTTGTGCATAAATATTTTAGGAATATGACCATGTCTATCTTATTTTTTATAATAAACATTATTTTAAGAGAATGGTTCTAAAAAATATTTACAATTATTTTAGGAATTATTTTTGTTTTGTATAATAAATTAAAATTATTTAATTTAATTTAAAGGTAACCACTGATTGAATAGAAAAATTGAGTAAGTACTAATCGAAAAGGTACAAAAATGACAACTTTTCATAGTTTAAATGAACTTAATTTCATCGAATAGGTTATCAACTAACAGTTTTGAGTGTTAACAAAGAATACATAAAAGTCGTATAATTAAATATGGATGTGAGCTTGCTTTCACAACATCAAGTATCCTATGACTAACTAGTTTTTAAGCGATGTAAGTTTGAATTTCTAACTTTTTTATTGAAGATTGTTTAGTAAGGTGTATGATTTTGCAAACCGTTTAAGTTTTATGGTGGAAGAAAGAAGCATAATTGACAGGTAAGTAACACAGTTTAAGAACACAAACTGTCTTTCAAAGTCAAAGAGGGACTTTTCATGGTCTTGCTCTAATTTGCTTACTTACCACTCAAATACTTCCATTTTATAGAAGACACATGCTTGCTCCAGGAAATAAATGCCACATTAATAGAGTTCAACGGTAAATCCTTGAATATCTAAAAAAACTTAATGCATTAAAATTAGAGGTAAAATTCTCTCTGTTAATAAAACAATACTATATTCTTATCGACTAATGTGAAATGAAATTAACCTTAAGAAATCCTTGACAAATTCAAAACAGCCCTCATTTACTTTATAATCACAATTGATTTATATTACACTCAAATGTATTCACTATCTTAGATAGAAAAGTTTGTTGTATGATGATAAAAAAGGAATAAACTGACTTTACATTACTTTTACACGTTTTATTATTATCATTTATTTGAATTCATCATTCATTCATTAATGTACAAAAATTAATTTCAACTTATTTAAAAAGCTTACAAGAAATAAATTTCAAAGATACAAACATACATTTATGACATTTTTAAACATTAAATATAATTGATATTCATGGGAAACATTTATTTTTAAGTCATTAACATATGAGAATGTTACTATCTAAAAGACAAATTCAAAAATGAATTTTTCTTTTTTTTTGCTGTTGCCAATTAATGAATCATAAAGATGTGTTGTTTTACTTAAATGACTGTTTTCTTTTATTATATGTACATATATTATTAGTTGGGATCTTGAGTCAATTGAAGTTAGAGCACCATGAAAAACTTGCAAGCAATGGACTGTCGTTTCGTTCTACTGTTGGACTCTTCAGCAAAGCGCATCCACGATCCCGTCTCACAAAATTCGAAACTAAGATCTATCCGTCTCCCACCCATGCTTCAATTGATTCATGATCTCAACTAGTAAAATTACTATTATATCCACAAAACCCCTTTATGATACATATATTTTTTTCTAAAATATAGAAGCTTTGTGTAATATAAACAAAATTAAAATACTAACACATTACAAATTAGTTACTTTTTAATGATCAATAATTTATCAATCAAAAGGAACTTGTTACTATCATAGTCATTTCGTTAATAAATTAATGTAAATAATGGGGAAAGTGTTTAAATTATGTAAATTATGTTAGTTCTACATGCAATCGTACAATATTTTCAACAACAAAATATATCGTCATAAATAAAAAAAGTATTTAGCTAAATTAATGACCATTAAAATGGGAAAAAAATTTAACGTTGTGACTCATATCCAAAAAGAAAAAAACGTTTTTCTTTTGTTTAATGGAAAAGTTCTTATATTACTAAAAAGGAAAAAAAATGTAACTCACGAAAATGAATAAATTTTCTACATTATGAGTATTTTTCTTTAGTACTATCAACCTAGTAAGATATGTATGTCATAAAAAAGGCATTATTTTTTTAGTTTTATAGTTGAATTATTGAGTCAATTGAAGCTAGACCACCATGAAAAACTTGGAAGCACTAGACGGCCGTTTCGTTTTAGTATGAGATTTCTCAGCAGTGTATATTTAGGATTCCGCTCTTTGAGAATCGAACCCAGGATGATGAAGAGGTTTATTCTGATCATCTCATAACGGTCACATGTGAAAAAATAAATTGTACATAGAATAATAAGTGGTAATTACTAGTCAATGTACCAAGTACAGTTCCCTTCTATTATGCTGCATTAATAATAATTGAGACAAGAATTTATTTCAATCCTAATGTAATAAAAAATGTCTATTATACATGAAGTTAAAACATTATTAAATAAATAAAAATATAAATAAAATAAACTTTCTAAACTGAGCTTTTAAAATTCTTATTTAAATTTATGTATCGTAAATTTTGCACAGTTATATAATATACTATTGTGGGCCAAGTTAATTTTACAATGGATTTCAAGAGGACCGGACACTATCCAGACGTTCACATGACAACCCAAACTGTACAGTTTAACAGGAGAGCCAGATACCGCCATACATCGCCTTTCGGCTCTTTGAGCTAAAATCATATGTAGTATCATAAATTTTTAATAAAATCGTTAAAATATTTGTTGAATATTTGACCAATTTTTTTCACAGGATATTTTACTTTTTATCCGTTTGATAAAAATAAATAAAACCGATCACTTCATTGAAATTTATAACCAGGTGTAGATCCCGAATTTTTTATTCAATTAAGCATATGATAATTAATGGTATATGGTTGTGGAGGGTGAATTACTTGATTGAGATCATGAATTAATATTCGTTATAAAAATTACATTAATCCAGATCCTAACTCTTACAGATTCTTCTCGAAATACGTTTGAAGCGTTATATATATATATATATATATATATATATATATATATATATATATATATATATATATATATATATATATATATATATATATATATATATTGAATGAGTACATTCTACAAACATAATATATTATCACTTGGTGTTGTTTAACATGTATCTTCCCATTGTTATTTAGGACTGCAATTGATCAGTTTCTTATTGGCATATGAGCATCCTATAGGAATCGCCTTGATATTGCCTTAAGTCACAAGCTTTTTAAGGAAAGATGGAGAGTGGATAGTAGTAGAATCCAGGACACGCGTTTCCTTCTATTTGGTCTCATCAGCTGGATGTACCTGCATCGCAGATTTGATGTTCTTTCCAGAGCTCAGTAGCTATGTAGATAACGTGATGGCGTTTGAAGCAAACTTTACTGGGTTCAAGTACCAGAGTGAACATCAACTCTGAGATGCAAGTAACTCCAGATGACGAGTCCTAAATAGAACGAAACACGCACCCTGGATTTCACTGCCATCCACTATCCATTTATGGATGGACACAGTTATTCAATTTTTAAATATAGTCCAAAAATTGTATATCATTATATTTACTTTTTGCAAATTTACTGTTATTGATTATTAGTAATAGAATTCGATCGAACTGGCAAATAACTGATCAATAAATTGCGATAAAAAAACTAAATTAATTGTATTATAAAATAAAACAAAAACATTAGAATAGATAAAAGTAACCAATTTACGGAGTCCTACTTATTGTATATTCAAATTTATTTCTCTTATGTAAAATGGATTGGTTGAAGTTAGACATTATTACCGTTGGATGCCGGCTCAGTGGTCTGGAGGTTAAGCGTTCACATGCGAGAGACTGACTGGTTCTGGGTTCGAATCCCGCTGGCGCGATCGTGAATGCGCACTGCTGAGGAGTCCCACAATAGGACGAAACGGCCATCCAGTGCTTTCAGGTTTTCAATGGTGGTCTAATATCAAACAGTTCATGATTTAAATCAAAAACTTATTAATCTTCACAACCCCATATTGATCATTCTTATTCAAAATGAGGTACATAGTGTAGTAACATCTTAACTATTAGCTTAAATGTATTTATTTATTAAGTTGTTTTGAACTTAAGTGGATACAGTACAAATTATAAAATAAGCAATCCATTTTTTTATTAATAAACTTTTCTGTCTTGTCTAGTGCTAATTAACAACACCCTTTATAACTAAAATCTAACAAAATAGCTTTTGATTTTATCAATCTAATGTTAATGGTTAAACAAGTTCTGGTTATTTTAAGTCCACTAACAAAGGAAATGTACATTATCGGCAAATATATATGTTTAAAATTATTCCATAGTGATAAAACTGTCTTACTGTATTAAACCTAAGTACAACTAAAGTAGATTATGTCTGATGAAAACATACATAATGAAAAATTGTGAGCCCTCTAATACTTTTTTCTTTCACTTATAAACCATTTTAAAAACAATTGTAAACATTTATTTATCTCATCCTAATACGTCGTGTGATAATTGGTAAACGAGTGTGACTTTGAAAGATGATAGTTTTTTTATATGATTTATTCAAATCTCATGTACATAGTTCTTTTGTACCAGCTTGAAAATAGCAAGTGCAACGATTTGAGCAGAATAGGATGAATTTATTTTATTTTGTTTGGCTCTCATAAGCCGCTTACAACCTGAAATATTTAAAAATCATAATTACAAAATGGATTTAAATTACTTATGTGAATGAGTTTAGACTGAGATCATGAATCATTCAATGTTGGACCACCATTGAAAACTTGGAAGCACTGCATGTCCGTTCCGTCCTAATATAGGATTCCTCATCCATAAGTATCCACGATCCCTCGAACTTTGGTAAGTACACGTGAATTTATGAACACAATTGGCGGTAACGACAAAGGGGTGCTTGTCGACCTTTGCTTGAGCTATTGGAAATGTGGTTTTATACAGTATTATTAGTT